TAAAAATCCAAATATGTGTCAGTAGATATAAAAATTCAACATATGTGTCAGTAAAAATAAAATTTTTCTTATTAATAATTTTGAATTTTTTCTATAATCTCCTTATTTTTATTAAAAATTCTTTTAATTTATTTATAATTATTTATTATCTCGGTAATCCTTGAAACATTTTTTTTATTGTAAGTTAAAGGACACAGAATGGATTCTAGAATAAGGAATGAGATTGTCGACTTTATACGTTCATCTTTCTTCACAAAGGAATACGAACAAAGCAAACATATATACAAAGCAATGGTATCAAGGCAAAAAAACTCAGGTGAAAAGACCGAAAACTTTACTTACCACATACAACATCGATTTCTCGAGCGTACGCCTCCCTCTTTTCCCTTTCCTTTCTGTTCCTTCGTCGATATCTGTACTTGCTATATAGTTTATGCACCCTTTGCGTCTAGTACCGGACAATGATTCACGCGAACCGCCAAGAACTTTGAAGGAAAAATAGCTCCGCACAGCAGCTTGCTTGAACGACGCCCCAACGTGGTTCGGAAAAGACATACGACCGCAGTGGAAAAGTTTAACCGGATACGAGCGAGCGACCACCTGACAAATTAGTTTGCTCGATCCCGTGGAACTTTCTTCATCCGTTTACATCTCCCGTCGAGATACTGCGAGAAAAGCCCGAGTATTTTAAAACTCGTCTAGCAAGTTAACCGTTCTAAGAAGCTTTGAGTTTGAAATCTGACTTGATTTTTTCGAACAGACAAACTGATTTTATAGGTCTTGCTCTATTCATCGTGCCTATTAATTGGCTTGGAAAAAAATTTATAGTTTAAAATAATGAAAATATTATCTGATATTTTAATGTTTCAAATGTAAGAGCTAGAATTTTTTTAGGAGGATTGAGAATTAATTTTTTTTTTTTAATTTGCGATAGGTGGTGGCAATTTTACAGGGATATATTTTATTATTATTTGTTAAGTACTCACTGAAAGAACAGTTTACTGAAGCATTTAAAAATTTAGTTAGATATTGATAAAAAAATAATTATATTAGGCCGTGTAAATAATTACATTGGACGCTCAAGCTGGATAGAATGTTAAAACTTTTTGCAGCAATACCAACATGCATTGTACATCAATGTATAGATCATCAAATTGGTATAAACTTTAGAAAACATTCAAGTAATTTTAATGTCTTTAGGCCGAAGATTACGTCGGTTTGAAGGGTAGTTTTGACGAGCATATCGGGTTACTGGTACACGGGGAGAACGGAGGACAGAAGACAGTAATACACCCGGATCCGCGTGGCTTACCGAGCTTACCGCCCAGCTTGGAAGCTCGTTTACCGCAGTTGGATCAGAACCTAAAGGTTACGCATGCTGAATGGTTGCCAGTCACTAATACGAGGTTTGTTCATTTGTGTGCGATAACTGAATCAAGAACTTGTATTTCTTTTTTAATTTTAGCTTTACGAAATTGCATTAATTGTACCTAACCGTATAATAAATAAATTTAGTTTTAAGTTGTGTTGTTCAATATTAATGTTATTGCTCCTTAAGGACTCAAAATAATTCCTTGTACTTTTACATCAAATAATTAAAAAAATCCGTATGATACTTTAAGATGAAAAATAAAGCATTAATAAAATAATTTTTATTTGTTTATACAATTTTATTAAAAAACATGAATTGCTTTGGTTGTTAAATATAAATTCCTTCTTCAAATTATGACAATTAAATCAAATCAAGTTAATTGTTATTTATTTTATAATTAAAAATTACATTTTGTAATTTTGGCCATAGGATTCTAGAAAGCCAATTTATTTTAAAAGTGAGGAGTGTCCATAAAGCTCAATTTAAATTTTACTGTAAATTATCAGAAAGTTTTATTATTATAAAAATTATTGAAATCAGATGTTATATAAACGGATGTATTTGCCTAAACTTTTTTACCCGTACATAGCTCAGGATCAATGGCTTTTGCAACATCTTGCTTCTCATTGAATAATTACACTTCTATTGATAAATACATTAAGTTTCACTTATCCTAATAATACTACTAGGTTTCTGGAAACATTACAAATAGTACAACAATTATAAGTTTTTAGTAATTCTTTCAAGAGGAATTGTCATATAGTTAATTCATCAGTCCATTTTGTCAGAGAAGAATTAACGAAAAGTGTAATAATGTACACTACAAATGAGATAACATACGCTCAATAATTAATTCTCGTCAGTCCTATTGCTCGTGGCCGAGCGTGGTGACTTCTCTCATATGCCTGTGGTGCGCACGCTGGTTGTACACAGTCATATGGGACCTACAGTTTAACGTCGATTCTGAACAACGAAATTTTATTAGAAAAGTGCTCTTGGAAAAGATACTTTCGGTGAGTTGTCGTTTCCTTCCGAGAGGAGACACGAGCTTATGAAAATATTTTTGGTTTTACCGGGAATCGAATCCAGGATCTCTAGCAAACCAATGCGCTGTCTGCTCTGCCACGCTCGCTCTCCAATAATCATTAATACACTTCCAATTTTTACAGCGTTTTGCAATACAAAATAAACAACACCACTGAAGTTCTTTCATTATCTAGATGCGTACGCTTTAGACATTCACGTGCTGTATTACTTCATTTTATCTTCCTTCCGTATATGCATAGTGAACGATAAATATAGAATGAAGCTTACAGCGCGTGAGCATCCGTTGCAAACGCAGCTTATGTGTTGACGAATCGTTTCAAAACAACATTGAGCGTGTATCTGATATCATTATGAGCATCTCGTAGCCTTGCGTGCATATTTTGTTTACTTCCTGAGACCAGTATCCAGAGTGCTAGCGATAAATATGGGACTAATCATATTACAAGATAAACAGGTGTTAAACACGTCCGTTTAAGCTAAAATCAGATGATTTTGGTAATTCTTATAATAACAAAACATTTCTAATAGACTAAATAAAATAATTCAAATTGGGTCAGGAGCTGGGCTTAAACTTCAACTTTAATTCTATTCTAAAGTTTTGCACGTTAGATTATACATGCTGCATGAGTAAAGATTTAATTAGAAGTTAAATTGCCTCATGTATATTCTGAACACAGTTGAACAGAAATAATGAGATATGTGTTTGGTCTAGGTTCAAATTTTTCGTTTATTCGGCATATTTCGACAACAGAGTTAGCGGCGCGGGTACGCCGGCTGGCAAGAGTCAGGGTGTAGTACGTGTAATTAGCGCTACTAAAACCAGAGGACCGGAGCGTGTTTGGTGTAGGCTCTGGTATCGACAGCAAAACAGTGCAAACGTCACTATCTCGGTAACGGTTGCTGCCAAAGTTAAGGTATGCTCCTCCCAGAGAAACAAATTTGTTTCGAGTTATCTAACTATTTCCAACTCCAAAGAACAACGCCGCAATATTATCTTAATATTAATATTTCAGTTACCTTGATATAGCAGATGTTTTGAAAGTATTCATGAAAGTTTGGTTTATTAACTGTACGTTATATATATGTGTATTTATTAAAAGTTTGGTTTATTAACTCCATAGGAAAATTAACTCTATAGAGAAATTTTAAAATAAAACAAAAGAAATAAAGTACGGTTTAATAACAGGAAAACTAAAACCTATTGTAATAAAATAGAGTTTTTATTTTTATACAAAAAAATTAAAGCCTCTTGAAAATTATGACACAAAAATGATATTGCATTTAGAATACACAGAAAAATATTTGGAACTTATCGGATCAACCTTTTAATGCGAGTTAAAAAACGACATAATGCAGACATGTTAAGTAATGACATAATAAAAATATGCATTTTATTTTTTTTAAATAGTGTTTTTTAAAATATAATCTGAAATATAGTTACAATTTACTTATTTTGTTTTTTAATTTTAATGTTAATTTGTCTGTATATCATATTTTACAGTTTATTATTAACTTTATAGATTTTTATTAATTTTGTGGATTTTATTTAAACTGGTCTAGAAAAACCATCTATATTTCATCGAAAATAAAGCGAGAGAAATATTTATTTCTATATTTAAACTGTGGAGAATAAAGTCAAAAATATTTTAAATTAAAAACTATTTTCAAAATGTTCCAAAACCTTCATATAAACTTTTTAACACTTTCAAGACTAAAATCTATTCGAAATATATTCAAGACTTTCAATAATTTTTTGTTTTTAATAAGAATGAATGAAAAATCTTCATTACATATTCGAAATAATCTGATGTGTCTTGAGCGCATCATTAATTTCAGGTGATTCGGGAGAATTGGAATCTCAAGTACAGTGCCTGCTTCGTGATATGTCCGTTACCTAAAGAATCCCCAACGACGGATAAGGTGCCGGAAGCGGTCAGTGTCGTGGCGAGACTGCGAGCGGTCCCGACGAATCGTATCTTCGTACAGAATCGTTTCGAAAGCAGGACAAACGCCAAGGAGGCTTTGGCTGTTTGCGTCAAACCTTTGCATTATTATTACAATAGGGTATGTTGTTCGTATAAGTAGCATGGTTAAATAATTGATGATCCTTACACCTGCGACATAACTATAATTCATAATGTAAGTAATTTATAGATCTATACGACAATGTTTTATTTGTTCGCACTTGTTATTTTTGTGTTTTACTCCTATTCGCACTTTTTCAATGTAATTTATTTAAGTTTGTTTATATTGAATTTGTATTATTGTCGTCTTCGTACATTTTATATTTTTCTAATCTAACAGAATGAAAGTATTTTCTACTTTATATAAATATTCTTACTTTTATTTTGTAATTATTTATGTTAAATAGGCTAATTTAAATTTAAAGGTAAATATAATAAAATAATGTATATGATTCTAGTGAAATATGATTTTGAGTGTAATTCAAATTTAATTTATATTACGTAATATGTTTGATATTATCGTACTAATATAAATCATAATTTCAATATTTCTCTGCTGTATGCACTTTGCAATCTGGCGATATAATTGTGAATTTATAAAACGCATCTGGGTAAAACATGCTCATTAATCGATTCTATTTATTATTCTATGAAAACTATAATGGGTACTTCCATGGAGAAATGAATGCATTATGAGATATCTCATATTTTAACGTACAAAATGTTTGATATTTATAGGTTTTGCAATTGGTGGAATTTATCGAGTTGCACAGACTCCTGGGCGCTACTCATGTCACTTTGTATAACGATACTGTAGGCGCAGCGGCCGGCTGTGCGTTAAAATATTATGAGAACAAGGATCTGGTTACAGTGTTACCATGGCATCATCTTGACATGATTTCCCAGCGGGAAATTCGCACGGAAGGTCTTTTCGCAGCACTTAACGATTGCCTCTACCGATCTATGTACAAATACGAATATGTGGCGCTCGTAGATCTCGACGAGTATATTATACCAAGGCATAATGACACTATAATCGATCTGCTACGGTATGATACATGATAGTTTCGTGACCTTAATGTACATCATATATAATACAATTGACATTTAGAAGATAGAACTAACATGTAGTATATTTGGAAGAAAGGTTGAAAACTTTATGCATTAGAATCGCTGGAATTATCAAATTTGTAAAATCATATTTATTATTTTTAAACCAATAAATATAAAATAACGATATCGTAAATTAATAATATATTATATAAAGCTAAATAATTATTTACTTCAAATTTCGTGTATCATGATAAAGTGTTTGTGTGGCTAAAGAATTAATTTCCTTATAAATAATTCATTTTTATGAATTTGAGTCGATTGTAAATATAAAACAACTTTATAATATAACTGTTTCTAGATGGATGGGAAATCGAATTAACATCAAGTCTACTGGTGCATTTTCTTTTCAAAACGCCTTTTTTTACCTACAATGGGCCGATGATCCTTTTGTGGTGACTAGCCATACTCCCACCGAGGCCGGTTTGATTACTCTGAAAAAAACACGACGCAGGACCAAGTTGCATCCGCACAAGCAACGCTCCAAATACATCTGTAAACCACAAGACGTGGTGGAGGCGGGCAATCACTTCGTCTGGGAATTTATTCCCGGTCATGGAACCCTGAACGTGCCCTCCGATGCCGCCATCTTGCACCATTACCGTGTCTGCGAGTTTGGTGGTGACGACTGCATCAAGACACAATCGACGGTCGATAGAACGGCCTATAAATACAGAGATCGACTTGCGACGAATGTCGACAAGACGTGGATGGAATTGCGCGCCGAGTGCTCGCTTCCGGAACTTGATCCGGTTCCGGCATTAACACCTCGAATCAAAGCCAATCCACTCGGCAAATCGGTCAGGTAGCGAAAAACCATCGTTGAAATTCTGTGGGACATTGGCAATTTCACTGGTACGCCGAAAGTCGCGAGGACCTATTTCTATAACTACGGCGGTCCGTAGGTTTCTCAAACTGAGCTAAGCGAACTCCCGTCTTTTTTTATGAAACTTACTGAACGGTGTTTTTAAATTTGCGAAGCAGGAGAATACGCTTATCAGCGAGATAATAGAAATTGCGAAAAAAAGAAAAAAAAAGAAACGAGACGCGAATTAATCATATTTTTCTACATGATGGATCCTTGAACGATTAGCGAAATTTGGGGACAACCTGCCAAGTCTATCGAGTTTGACACCGCATGGTGATACTTCTCTCTTACGATTTTATACGGACTCTTGTATCTGTATCTTACAATTCTTTCATTCGTGCAGCAAATGTGATCATTTGCGACAAATTCTATTATCATTAAGAAAGATTGTTACAGAAGGCCTAAATCACGGGCTAAAAGAAAGCAGTTGGTGATAAACGGCGAGCAACATTAGATATTATTCCTATTATATCGTTATTTCGAGGGTAAACCTTTTTTTTAGATACTTGTAAATTCACACAATGTATCTTATGCATATCCATAGAATCAATAAATAGCATAGTGATATATGTACAATATGTATTTAGGACTGTTAGAAATTAAATCTGCAGAGACACACAGCCTAGAACACAGCGTACTCTCGAAAAAATATTACTTCAGATGCAGTCCGTTGAAAATTCTGAAATCTAACGCTGAAAACCCACAAATTTATTTAAGCAAAAAAAAGTAATGTGATATTTGTTTTAAAATCTCCAAAGATTTTATAAATTTAATTTAATCTAGGGTTTAAATGAATCTCTGTTTGTTTTTATTTTATTATCCACATACAAAAGTGAATAGGTTTGTGATACAATAAATTATTGTGCAATTCTTCCGCGTTTACAATCATCGTCTTTTGTCGAAAAAATTTATAAAAAATTGTACATAATGTAAATTTTTTTGTATACATTTTTTTTTTTTTTAGGGAGATAAACGAAAGATATTGATTTTGGCATAAATTCTATGATTATTACGTGATGTGATTTAATTCGTTGCTAGCGATTATTTAATATAATAAATAAGAAAATTTTCGTTAATACGAACAAATAAATCGACGGTGAAAATAAAAAAACCGCACAAGGGAATTTAATAAAACGATAAAATGTAATTGTATCACAGATATAATTTACGAGATGATAAAGGGAAAATTTCTGGCAACTAAATCGGTAGTTTATAATATACCGAATATTATTGTGGCAGATAAGTTTAGTAAAGTTTTTCTATTTATTTATTAATACAAAGAAATCATATTTCTTACGCACACGCAAGTTTATGTATATATGTGTATACACGCATGTGTACGTGCATGACACGTACATGACATGTAAAATAGACTTAAGATAAATACATGTGATCGGTGCTGAACTACAGTCGACAATGTGTCGACGTTGATTATGTTGACGAAATTAATAAATATGATACTAGGACAATACTTTAATTTTCTTGAATTTCCATTGTGTATTATTTAAAAATCACAAACTAAATTCATTATTTATGTAAATATTAATGTATTACGATATAAAGATTAAAAAATTATTTTTCAAGAAAAGAAAGCAAAACCGTTAAAAGCACATCTTTATTATATTATTGAAAAAAAATTGTTATACTAAAAATACTGTTTTAATATATATTTTATAAATATTAATGTGCAATAATAATAAATTTGTAAAATTTTGTAATTTAAATTAAAAACAATAATATATATAAAATACTAAATATATTATAATTAAAAAATGTTTTGTTATAATAATAGATTGAAAATTATTAAAATAATTTAACATTTTACAAAAAAAAAATGTTTAATTTGTTTTTTCTAGACAATAATGACATTAGAAAATAGTGTATGTAGGAATAAAAAATTACACATACTATTATTTCTTCATATTGCATTCAAAATCAAAAATCAATAATCGATATTGATAAGATGTATATATAACAATAATAAAAAACCGATAAAATTGATTAAATCTTTTACCTTTAATTAATTTCATTAATTTAATTTATTTTAATACTTAGATTAAAAACAACAGGCTCATATGAATACGTCATAACTAAGAGAAGTGCCTATAACAAAGTTAAATAATGGAATAATACATCTATATATGTATTTTAAATAAATTTACTTCAAATGTATGACTGTGCGTCGATTACTTTCGAACTTGCAACACAATCAAAATAATATTCCTTCAAAAATTAAATTAGATCTTCAATTTTACTTAGCTTCGATGCTACAAACATCTTAAAACCCCTACAGAACTTATTGCAAAAAATATTACCTTGGACAAAATTCGAATCTGGATCTCCCGTATTCTGTGTGGGCGTCCTCCCAATTTGACCACCGAGGTTTCGGCAATATTTATCGCAATAATTAATATAGAGAATGTACTCTATATATATATATATATATATATGAAAAAATAACAATATATCTAAAAGAAAGATGCCTTAACGATCAAAATTAGAATTTATTTATTTTGTCGATTATTGTTTATTTTTTTATTCGATATTAATCTTTAATATATAAAACTAACCTGAATTATCGATAGAGATTACATTATATATTCATTAAAAATCATCATCCGAATGCCTTTCTATCTTACTGACGGCTCGTTTTTCTTGAGCGGCTTTGAGATTATAGTTGCCCATATCTGTCGCACCCACGGAATTTAAAAGATCTTCATCGTCATCATCGTCAAGATCTCCGTCAATCAATAAATCACTATCGCTATCCAGTGAACCATCACTATCGTTTTCAGGAATCGTACCCCTTTGCCGTCCAGACATGCTACCGTAAATGCGTCGCTGAGTATATTGCATCTTCGCTCTTCCAGTAGCTGAAACATTTTTAATTTGTTATTGCTAAAAAGCGTAGAAAAACGTATATTTTTTCACATATCTCTTTATTATATTTTCCAAAATTTTATTGATTTGCAAGTGATTTTCAAAATTACAATAACGTGTAATATGCTCTCTAAATTCCTTGGAGTGAAATCTCACTCTTTTGGAGTAAGATCTTACTCTACAAAATTTAAGAGTGCGAATTATTTTCTATAATAAAAATTGTTACTTGATTTGATATGGCTGGATTGACCAGGTTTTTCTGCTGCTGTGGCTTCTGGATTGGTAAGGGAAGTAACTAGAGGTTCTTGAAGATTCGTAGCAAATATAGAATCGTTCCCTTCCATCATACTTTCGAAATTCGTATCCTCAGTTTTCAGTTGTTCCAATTGTTTTTTCGTTGCAGCTTGCCTGCGATTAAGATAAATAATATTACATAATTATGTTACACAATTTGTTTGTATGTTATTTATGATATATGTATTTTTAAAATCTTGTTTTTAAATATTTGTTATTGACAAATACCGTCTTTCGAATCTTTCTTGTTCCACCTTAGCTGCGTCTTCATACAAATGTTCCAGGTACGCGAGATACCGGAATTTCTGTAAATAATCATCATATAAAGCTCTAAACTCGATTTCGAGCTTCTCGAACTCCTCCATGAATGCTGGACGGACTTTCTTCAATGTATGGAGTCTCTTTTGATTTCGATCGAGTTCCGTTTTCCGTCTCTCAATTCTTGCATCCAAGTTTTGTTCTGTATCCTGTAAAAATAAATTAATTTATTAATTAATAAAATTACTGTGGCATCGTAATAAAATATTTTTGTAGAGATTAAACGAAGCAATTTAAATTTTAAACATGCAAGAACTATCTTATCAAATAAAAAATTTTACCTTAACATTGTCGATTTGCTTCTTTGTTTCACTAATTTCTTTGCGCGTGTTTTCGATGACATCTTTTAGAGCTACTTCTATTTCGGAAGTATCGAATTGCCTCGCAATTTTAGTATTTCGAATCTCACGAAGTTCCACTTCTCGACCAAGTAAATCAAAGAGGGCCGCTCCATTAATGGTTAATTGGCTCGCTAACTGCCGAGTCGTTTTCAGTTCGTTAATTTTATCGGAAATGTCGAAATTTACTGCGTTCTGATTACTGCTCGATTGATTTTGTTCAGTATTGCTACTGTTCTGCGCGTCATACAATAGTGTAGCTATCTTCAACATCTCTTTTACTGCATAACCATCGGCTTGATACAGTTTTTTTGTATTTAATTTTACATTTGTCTTCAACGCCTAGAACGCATAAAAGCACATATGCTATTTGTTACAACTCTAACTATTTTTTAATATTTTTACTATAAATTTTATAAATGAAGAAATTATAGAATTGTTTTAACAGAATATAATAACAGATTGCTAGTAAAAACCAAGTAGAATCTTATCATTTAACCATTACCATTAGTTAAATGAAGTTATTTAAATGATTACGAAACACATTCTGCTTGGTTTCTAATAATATATATGTTTCTATTAGCAATCCATTATATTAGATTATATCAACAGATTTTGCTAATATGAGCTTAATGCAGATGCAGTTGATAATCTATTGCAATATTCTACTTGAATAGAATATTGCAATGCTTAATATAATGCTAACATTTTGTTTACTGAGAGTGATATATTTTGAAATAAATAATAATTAATATAATTCTATCAAACACTTTCATAAGTTTGTAAAATAAATAAGATAGATTACTCTTTTAAAAAAAGAATCATTAGACTAATGTTATGACTAGATGTAATGTTTAAGTTATTTACCATAAATTCAGCGACACTGCGTATCAATGTTACACGTTGTTCCTCAATATCGTGATCGCTAAATATATCAACATCTGGATCGAATCGTTTCACCAGCCAAACTATAATCTCGGCAACCAGGGGAAAATTCGGCATACGAAAGTTCGCGAGGGAAATTAACCTCGGATAACCCAGTACCCTCATCATCTCCGTGAAATCTATGTAAGCAGGTAAAAAGAAAGTAAATTGCAACATAGTTTCATTTATATCATATTAATAATCATTTTATATACGCACTACGTAAATCACGGTAGGACATTTTCACAACGAAAAACTAAATTCACTGTAGTTACACAAAGGTAGGTTTCTAGTTCATGTTTTCTACTCGCGGTATTAACGTTACCATAGAAACCATCAGCTAGACTGTGGACTCATGGACAAGATTGTAAGCAATCAATTTTTTATCATAAAATAAATACTTATATTCACATTT